TGCTATAAACACCATGTTGTCTGTGAAGTGTAGATCATTCAGCTAGTCGCCGTTGTACATCAGACCGCCCTTCCAGTTGAATTTGCGGAACACCACCTCGAGGAAAAGATTAAAGAGTTTCGGTGATAAAGGATTGCCCTGTCTCACGACCTTCTCGATCGCTATGCGAATTGGGTTTGAGAAGAGCGTTAAACTCCACCGTTGCTGGTCCCAAACCCGGTTGAGAAGCGAGGAGGGTTGAAGACCGCGGTGAATTATAAGTAAAAATTCGCCATATGCCAATAAAAGTACTGATGGCAGGCCGTTGGAGGGAAGGACTTAGGCGGACTGCGAAAAGTAGGCCATCAGTACCTGCTCATTGCCCTCTGCCAGGCGGGGGGGGGCAGCAGCACAACGACGGCTGAGGAAGACTGACGGAACGACGACGAAGATACCAGTCATCAACGGAGTCGGTACCCGTTCTAAATGGAGGAGGAATACATCGCGACGCAATTATAGCTCGTCAGAAAAGGCTCCACGAGAACGATACCATCAGTTGGAGCTAAAAGTCGGAAATTGGAACATATCATCACTCAGAGGAAAAGAACAAGAATTAGTTCATGAGGCCATAAACCACAAACTACACATTATTGGACCCTCATCAGCGAAACGCCAAGGCTCTGGACTCCTGAACATCAATGGATGGAAGCTGTTCTACTCAGGCGTCGATATCACGACTTGGGCTCAGAACGGTGTTGGTGTTCTTGTAGAACCCAACCTCGCCACTAGCATTATTGATTGAAAGCCTGTCAGCAAAAGGGTGGTAATCCTCCGACTGAAGCTACAACAGGCTAAAGCGTAGACGTTGGTACAGGTCTATGCGCCCAATTTGGAGGAAGAATATAAGACCTTCCTTGAGGAAGTGCAGTGTGCTCTGTCCGAAGTACCGAATACAGAGTCACTCATACTGATGAGCGATTTTAATACGCACGTCGGCGTAGACGTTGAAAAGTGGAACGGCGTGATCGGGAAAAACGGCCCTAGCGACCTCAATAATAACGGCACGAAGCAAAAGCTGTGGCGAAAGCGAAAGCTGATTCCTGAGAGAAATGTTGGAGTTGAATTTCCACAGTTCAAATAAGGCATTCTACCAGACCATCCGCTCTCTCCGAAGTGAAAAGAAGGGCAGTCTCAGAGTCTTGAAGGTCAGGTCTGGCCACCCTCTTGCCAAAGACGATGACATTATTCGGCGTTGGATAAAATATTTTCAGGAATTTCGTATCGAATGGAAATCGAAGTGGAATCAAATAAACAAATAATGCATATTTCTTAAATTGCCAAAAAAGCATACGTACGTGAGCTTCAAATGCTAAAAATTCTTATGGTTAAAGAAAAACCATCGGAAATAAGTTTCAAACTCAACTGGAAAGAAAAAGAATTAGTCATTATCCCTCGAGTTTTCTTTGCATTAAAAACGTATGTTAAAGCAATAAACAAAGTCCATAACTG